ATGCCAGCATTATGAATCCTACAGGTTGAAAATGGAAGCCCTCACTGACAGGGAGCAGGGAATTATAGACCCAGACAGTGGAGATGAAGCACAACTTAATGGAGATCAGCCTGGAAAGGAAGCTCTGGGTGAATGCACTCAAGCCACTGAACCGGCCTCATCTCTTCCTTTGAGTCAGAATAGTGGGAGTGAACTGCCTGCTAGTCAACCTCAGCCCTTTTCAGCCCAGGAAGACATGGAGGAAGAAGACATGATCATAGAAGACTATGAGAGCGATGGGACGTAGCCACTAGCTTGTCAGACACAGTACTATTGACAAATTCATATTAGTTTTATTCATTGGTACTTGAACAGAGATAATATATTTTTCAGATGACTTACAGTATAATTATTCACTTGTAACATTTCAGCACAATGAACTGACTCTACTGTCATCTTGAATTAGACAAGCCTTCAAATAATGTCTTAATTTTTTTTCTCTAGTATTTATTTAGAATTGTGAGTTATATTGGCAGAGATCAGTGTGCATGAAATATGTTAGAACATTATGCTACATAGCAGAAAATGTGAAGAAGGAATTCAGAACATAAAAACTTTGTGGGGTTTGTAAATATGCATTATAAAACAGGTTAGAATACAATTATGAGTGTAAATAAACTTGGTGCCTTATTCAATTCTCTGTGATCTCTAGCCTCTCCAGTACCATTTTATATGTTGTACAGTGGAATACTGTAGATACTTTTTGGAAAGTATTTACATAATTTATATCAAAATTAAAATGTTGAGTTTCTTTTTGTTCTCCTCTCATTTAACATTTCCTAACATAAAATTGTCATGTGGCATTGGGCAGAGTACTCCAGAGTCAAACTTTACAGTAACAGAGAAGGCAATTTTTCTGTAGCATTTCCAGAAATGTGCCCCAACTAGCATTCCAGAACTGAGCGGCGAGCCTGGTTTGCCACCATAGCTGGGAGGTGCTGGGAGGTAGGCAGTCCTCGACCCACTGAGGCCCCACGGGGAGCCCTGGCTCCACAAAGCCCAGCGGGCGGGGCAGAGCTTGGCCGGCCCCGCCCCGCAGCTCGATCCCGGTTTCAGTGCCGCGGGCGGCGAGCGCGCTCTTCCCGGCGGTCGCGCAGGTGAGTGGGGCAGGCGGGGTGGAGCCCGCGCCCCGGGAGAAAGTCCGCGGGGAGAAGGGGGCCGCTCTTGCTCCGCGGGGCGCGACTCTAGCTCGGTGCGTGCGGCTGAGAGCCTCAGTCGGAGCGGGCAGAGGAGGGCCCCACCTCCTTCAGCCGACAGGGGCGCAGAGACGCCGCCGTCCTTCCGGCCGCGGCTACCTGGCCACCCGACTCGGGCACTTGTGGCCGACTTAGTTCCGGCCACTTCTGGGCGGAATGCCGGAAGAGTGAGCGGCTTTTCGGTCAGAAACGCGAAAGCGGAGCACGCTCCGGGGCGGCGGGCGCCTCCAGCGACGAGATTGGTGCGGGGAACTGGGGAGAGACCCCCGGTATCCCTCGGGTGTTTGAATCCCACGGCGCTTTCCCAACTCCCTGGAATCCCAGAGCGTCGCGAATGTGCCCCAGCCTCGTTCTAAGCCCTTTGGAGCGGGGATTTTGTTTGTGTAAAGGTGACTAAACTTCATTCCTGTGACGCTACCGGAAAAACCGTTTCCCTCTATTCGAGACAGGTGTTCCCAGAGCAGGCAGGCAGGGCGGGGTGGGGGCTTGAGCAAAACCAGGACCCACTCTGCCTCAGCATGTTGACTCTAAATAGACGCTCAGTGACACCTTGGCAGGTATTCAGGGCTCTCGAGATAGTTAACCAACTTTTCCCGTCTAAAATCTCGTGCGTTGCTACGCCACAATTCTAAATCTGTATAATGTTCTTGCTTTTTATTTAAACATTGGTAAGGAGGTCTAATTCAAATAAGCCACTATTTACAAGCGAGGATGGTTTAACTCCATTACTGTGAAGCATACTTTTGCCAACTAAGCAAAGGGGTAATCTGTAAATGCACATATAAATATTTAGGGGTAGTATGTGAGGCTCGCTGAAAATATTTGTTGTGCTTCTTCCTCCACTTAAGAAAATGTACTTCGAGAACTGTCTCCTGTGCATTTCTAGGGTTTAAACTTTTTAGACAAGAGCTGAAGAGATAAGATACAAAAAGAACTGCTAATTGCTATCATTTTGAAAGCTCTTTTGTCTATCTACTTCTTTGGGGCTATCTCAGTTAATTTTCTAAAATTGGAACACCCAGTTAGAAGACCCCGGAATCTAGACCTTTTGCCCATCACCTCCCATTCCTGGGCAGCTGTGTAGTCTGTGCTCATGCCCACCCTGCTGCAGACTCCCCTACAGATACATTTCTGACAGGGATCTCAAATTCTTGGGCTGCTTCTCCCCAGGGTTAAACTAGAAGGGTAGAAAAATGCACATTTAATGATCTGATGCCTGGGATTTGCTTCAGAGTAATCTATTGGTAGAAGGAATAAGGTTGGGATATAAATTAAACAAGATTCTTTGTAAATTGGTAGTAACAGCTGGTCAATAGGTAGATAGGGCTTCATAATACTGTTTTCTCCACTTTTTATTATGTTTGAAAATTTTTCTTTATTAAAAATATTCTATTAGGTTTGCAACATTTTCTTTAGTAAATTTTTTAATTCTCTATATCTAGAATTTGCTATCTTCACTCTCTTCTACCACAGGAATTCCTTAGTCCTCCAGTTGCTTCTCATCTCAGTCCAGGAAAAGCCTAAATCCATTCTAATGGTTTTTAAAAGACCCTACTAATTCCGAAGACCTCACTTCTACCAGTCCCTGTGCTGCTGCCTCATTGTCCTTCCTCCCTCAGTCCCTTAATCTGGTCAGAAGTGTCAGACACTCCTGCCTTAAAGCTTTTGTACTTGCTGTTCTCTCTGCCTGGATGCTTCCCCTCACCTCCACCCCTACTTGCCTTCCTCCTCCATCTCCCTCATTTCTGCATTTAGGTGTCAGATTCTCCAGGAAGACTTCCCTGGTCTCTAAAACTGTAATACTCTCTCCTCCCTGGTCTCTAAAATTGTAATACTCTCTCCTTGAGGCACTCCTTATCATCTCCTTAATTTTGTGCCTTAATAGTCGACATATTTCACTTCCCCTCTTACCTGTACACACAAACACACATACAAGTCCATGGAGGCAAGGATTGCAGTTAGCTTTATTCACTTGTCTCCTGAAATGGACTAACAGTGTCCAGAGTGAGCCTGGTGCATGCAGTTGCTCTATGAATATTTGTTGAATAATGGGTCTCCATTTTACAAAGCAAATAAACTGAAGCCTTTGAAATTTCTAAATTGTTCAACACCACAAAGCTAGAATGATTCATTTGACACATTCATAGTGCCAAGTAAATGCCATTTGCCCCCTGAGGGGGTGGGGGCTTCAATGTGCCTTAAATCTAGTAGTTACATTAGCAAATCATTTCCCTTTTTTGTATCTGTGTGATTTCATCAGGGAAATCAATATGCTTTGTAAAAGTGCTTTCTCTTGCCGTATTTCACAGGTGAATCAAACTGTTTCTAAGTTAGTTTGAATCTTTCAGGGCAACAGCAAATCACTTGTAAGTAATTGCTCTGGAGAAAGTGATCTCCAGAGAGATGGTCATTGCTGCCGCTCTGTGTTGTATTTCCTGGGAATCATAATCTTGGGTGACCTTTTTCTCTGAAGGTTTAATATCTAAAGCCTAGTATCAAATGTTAATATTTTAGAGCAGAGAAAGGAACTCCTGAAAGTGATTTGCCTGCCAGTAGGAAGGATAGGTGTTCTTCACTCCCTGTGTTTTTACATTTTCAAAGGAAATGTTTATTAGGAAAAAAAGAAAAAGAAAAAGAGATACCTGCATAGTCACAGGCAGGCAGGGAGGCTGCCACTCCCTGTGTTTAACAGACTTTCTCCTGTGCCATTCCAAAACAGATGAGTTAATGAAAAGGAAGAGTATTTGCTGAGCCATCAAATGCTGGTTTGTTCAGACTCCTAAATATGTTGATTTAGATGTCTGATGAAAGAACTCCACTTGTTCTTGTTTGCTGTATTACTATTATTATTTTCATTTTTGTGTTTAGAGCTTGTTTAGAGGGCTTATAGGTAATTTGGACTTATTAATGTTTTCATGGAAAACTAAGATTTAAATTTTTGACTGCCCAGTGCCCTCCCTGGTGGCACAACAGGTTAGGATGCAGCACTGAAAGCTAGGCACAGAGGCTTCAGTGCCAGTTCATCCCCAGTCCCAGAGGTGATCCACGTGCCACAGCAGACTTCTCCTGACCTTCCGGCTGCCCCCCTCAGCAGTGTACTTTGTCGATATGCCTCTTCTGCTCCCCTCACTGTCTCTGGTGAATCCTCTCACCGCCCCTGCACCCCTGGCTTGTCCCCCAGTTCTGTATGCATAATTAAATAAATCTTTAAATAAGTAAAATAAAATAAGATTTTGACTGCCCTGAAAATCACAGAGAATGTTGACTATATTACTGACTAACATTGCTGTTACATATATTTAAAGTCTACATGTTTAGGGCCCTCCCTAGAGGTGCAAGGGATTAAGTCCCAGCACTATGAAGCTGTTGGCAGCCACTGCAGCAAGAGTCCAATCCCAGCCAGGGAGCTGACCCACATGGTGCAGCAGATCTCTCCTGTCTCACCCGCTGCTCCCCTCAGCAGTGTATTTCAGTCAGTCTTCCTGTTCTGCTCCCCACTCTGTCTCTGTTGAATCCTCTCAGCCCCTGCATATCTGACCTGTACCCCAGTTCTTGTATGCATAAATAAATCCTTTAAAATAACAAATAAGGTGGCCCTCCCTGGTGGCGCAGCGGGTTAAAGTACTGCAATAAGAAGCTTCAGCCACTTCCGCTTCCGCTTGGTTCGATCCCCGCCTTCCCCGGAGGTGACCATGTGGCGCGGCAGACCTCTCCTGACCCGCCCGCTGCTCCCCTCAGCAGTGTACTTCATCGATCTGCCTGTTCTGCTCCCCACTCTGTCCCTGGTGAATTCTCTCACCCTCCGCATCTCTGGCCTGTACCCCAGTTCTGTGTGAATAAATAAATCTTTAAAAATAATAGTAATAATAAATAAGGTATACATGTTTATGTTATCATTTTATATATTTAATTAGCATTAGACATCACAATTGTTTCCTGAATATGATTATTTGCTACTAAAGGATAAATCAGTACTACTGAAAAGATAAATAACTAAGCATAAATGATGAGTTTGTTCTTGGCTACAGGTGTAAAAATTGCAAATGTCGTCAAATGGCGGAAGATCCAGGAATAGGGACAGGCATTACGACGAGGTCCCGCAGGAATTGCCCTATCAAGATGGCACCATAAGAACCCTCCAGACACTTCATGACAGTGAGCTGGCTGTGAGCGCTGATCCTTTGCCACCGCCCCCTCTCCCATTACAGCCGCCATTCGGCCCAGTGTTCTACTCAGATGACACAGAGGAGCCAGCCATAGCACCAGATCTCAAACCTGTAAGGCGCTTTGTCCCTGACTCCTGGAAGAACTTCTTTAGAGGGAAAAAAAAAGACCCAGAATGGGATAAGCCCGTGTCTGACATCAGGTACATCTCCGATGGAGTGGAATGTTCGCCTCCTGCCTCTCCGGCAAGACTAAACCACCGTTCTCCTCCCGCCTCTTGCAAAGATCCTTATGGAGAATCAGAAGGAGCCTTTACTTGTAGGAAAGAGGCCATGTTTCCCCAGGATGCCTATGGATCTCTAGATCGACATACACAAACTGTCCGAACATACAGTGAGAAGGTGGAGGAGTATAACCTAAAGTATTCCTACATGAAGTCGTGGGCAGGCCTGCTGAGAATTCTGGGAGTGGCGGAGCTGCTTTTGGGGGCTGGTGTCTTTGCGTGTGTCACTGCTTACATTCACAAAGACAGCGAGTGGTATAACTTGTTTGGGTATTCCCCATCCTATGGCATGGGAGGCAGCGGCTTGGGCAGTATGTATGGTGGCTATTACTACACTGGCCCCAAAACCCCTTTTGTACTCGTGGTTGCGGGATTAGCTTGGATCGCCTCCATCATTCTTCTAGTGCTTGGCATGTCCATGTATTATCGGACGATTCTTCTGGACTCTAATTGGTGGCCCCTCACCGAATTTGGAATTAACATTGCCTTGTTTATTTTGTATATGGCTGCAGCCATAGTCTATGTGAATGACACCAACCGTGGTGGCCTCTGCTACTATCCGTTATTTAATACACCAGTGAACGCCGTGTTCTGCCGGGTGGAAGGAGGACAGATAGCGGCGATGATCTTCCTGTTTGTCACCATGATTGTCTATCTCATCAGTGGTTTGGTTTGCCTGAAGTTGTGGCGGCATGAGGCCGCCCGGAGACACAGGGAATACATGGAACAGCAGGAGGTAAGAGGTTTTGCCTGTTATTTATTCCCTTACTAAATACGTATAGTTTTCAAAACAAAGCTTTCCTAGAAATCTTTTGTTTTAATCTGAACTTAGAAAGTCCTAGTTCAGTAGCTGAACTGCTTGGACTGGGTACGCACCAGATGTGTAACGTTGTATGTAGAATTTTAGCTGCGTTATTATATCTGATGCTTAAGGGAGAGACACATTTACTGGGTTTCTGCAAGGGGGAATAACTGAAGCATCTCAAGATTAAAGTAAGCTTGAGAACAATCTTGATTCTTTACTTAAAACAATTTAGCAAACATAATGAAATAAGCCAGAAAGAAAAGGAAAAATAGCGGATGGTTTCACTCATAGCAGGAGTATAAAGAACCAGGGGAGAAAATAATAATAATAATGAACAACTATATACCAGAGACATTTTACTGGGGTGGAGTGGGGAATGGGATCAGAAAAGGTGGGGGGAGGGAAGTGCACTGGACTACGGTGATGGCACATGAGTGATTTAGTGATGGGAAACACGGGGATTACAAGTGAGATGGAAAAAGGCACAAAATGATGTAAAAATAAACTTATATTATTTTTTTTTAATTAAACAATTTTTGGTTACAGGAAAATGTTTTTTTTAATTTGTTACAATGAGTGCCACTTTCTTCCAGCGAGTTAAACAAAGCCAAGTAAGAGTATAGTGAACCGTATTTGATTTTTTTTTTTTTTTTTTTAAGATGGAAAGGTAGAGTTGTGATGAACCAGCTCACAAACCGGCTCCTTGAAAGCATGCCCAGGCATTCTGATGCTTCATCCTTATTTTGGGGAGATTAGTGTTCCAAAATTAGAATGGGAGCCCTGCCTTTGTTTTTATTTCTAGAGTTTAATTAAGTATAAGAAGAAGAGAGGAAGAGAAGAAAGGAAGTATTATTAACAACAACTATAATAATAATACCTGGAAGATATAATTACATAAAAGCCCTATTAAAAATTATTTTACTTGAAAAATAAAATTATCTTATTTGAATGGTAGCAAAGATGTTAATTAAGAATATGTTTAACTAGCTTCATTATACCATTAAATAATTAATGTTTTGCTTCTCTTGTGAGGAATGTGTAGTAGAACCTTGAATGTCACTGAATAAAAAATAGTATTATGTTTAACATTTTTTTTTAAGAATTATTTATTTATACATACAGAACAGGGGTACAGGCAAGAGCTGCAGGGCTGGTGAGAGGATTCACCAGAGACAGAGTGGGGAGCAGAACAGGCCGACTGACAAAGTACACTGCTGAGGGAAACAGCTGGCTGGTCAGGAGAGGTCTGCCACGCCATGTGGGATCACCTCCAGGGCGGGGATCGAACTCATGCTGAAGTGGATTCAGCTTCTTAGTGCTGTGCTTTAACCCTCTGCGCCACCAGAGAAGGCCCAACATTTTGTTAATATTAACTGTTTCATGTGTTTTATGACAAGTACCTTATGCATTATAAGAGAACCTCAACAAGTTTTAAAGTGGCCTGTACTTTGCTGCCACAAAGTATTTATTTTTGCTGTGTGAACTCAACATAAATTCAATTTATTTCTAAAAATTCACCTCACCACTTAAAAGTGTTTTTTCTTAAATTTACATCCTTACATAAAAAGAACTTTAAATTCCAGGGCCTCCCTGGTGGCACAAGGGGTTTAAGCACAGTCTGTGAAGCTGTCTGAAGCCACTGAAGCATGAGTTCCATCCCAGGCCAGTGAGCTGCCCAGAGGTGGTACCGCAGACCTCACCTTCCCCGCCCGCTGCTCCCCTCAGCAGTGTTTTCCAGTGAATCTGCCTGTTCTGCTCCCCACTCTGTCTCTGGTGAATCCTCTCACCAGCCCTGCACCTCTAGCCTGTACCCCAGTTCTTGTACGTATAAATAAATAAATCTTTAAAAAAAAGAACTTTTGATTCTAAATCAGTGTAACCTAGATAGTAAAATACACACATTTCATTATTTTATCTAAGTTCATTTACATCAGAATTCTTAATGTCATTTCATTCGTATTATGATTGGGACTGTAATTATCAATATGATGCTTACTCTCTTTTGATTTATCAACAAAGGTTTGCTCCTGTAAGGCTTTTATTATAAAAAGTCATCATAGACTTGATTAGAGACTGGAAACACCTTTGATGTTAGAGGTTGTTTGTATGTTGCTATCATTTCCTAAAACTTAGAAAGTGCAATGACCTGTGACTTTTCTGTTAATTTTATAGTGTAATTATCCCAAGTTTTTGAATTGTGCAAGGTAATAGGAGCCAAGATTAAATAAAATCTCTGATCATTCAGAACAACTCACCTAGTGTCTCTCCCACCCCCATTTCTAGCTCTGCTCTCTGTGCCTGGTTAACAAGAAACTTAACCTCCTCCCGCTCTCCACTGGGCCAGGGAGATGTCAACAAAAGGGTGGGGAAACATCCAGCAAATAGAGAATCAGGCTCAGTGAAATTGGGGACTATAAATACAAATAGATGAAAATATTTGCAAAGTAGCTTTATACTCTGTTGAAAATTCCTCTTAATTTTACTTCTTTTTGTTACAGATAAGTGAGGCATCATTGTCATCCAAAAGGAAAATGGTAAGAGTTATCATATTTAACTCTAGATTTGTTAAATGCTTTTCTTTTTTGTCTAGTTACCTAAAGTAGATCATTTGTCTGTAAAGTCTATCTACTAAACTGGACTTTAAGCTTTTCCTAAAACTAAAGTGATCAAATTAGACAGAACTATTTATGGCTTCTCTTTAAGTGAAATCTTACACAAATTAATATATGCCTAAATTTTTTTTAAAAAGAAAGTGACTTTTCCCAAACTTTCTTTAGTCTCTTTAAAGTTTTTTTTTTTCTTTTCAGTCCTTCTCATTTTGCTTTCAGATGCCAAATTTTGTTGTTTCAAGAGTGAAATTCCTACTCCACAGTTTACCATGTGGTGATAAGCTAGGTATTTAACTTTCTGTGTCTTGGTGTCTTCATTTATAAAGTTGGGGTAATTTCTTCCCAACAGGTTTGTTGAGAGGGTTAAATTAGATGCTGTTACAATTATTTAGACGTAAGCAAATAAAAAAAAATTATAATTTTACCTCATTGAAAAGGTATTATTTTTAAGATTTATTTATTTATTTATGCAAGAACTGGGGTACAGGCCACAAGTGCAAGGGGGTGCTGCACTGGCTTCAGATTGCTTTACAATGCTGTGACTTAAACCCTTGTGCCATCAAGAAGGCCTATGAACAGTATCTTATGAAGTTATAATTCACATTTCTCTTACCAGGAGTGAGGCTGAGTATTTTTCATGGTATGTTTGCATTTCCCTTCTCTTAACTGGTCGTTTCTTATCCAATGCTTTCAGCAGGTTGCTAATTTGTACAAGTCCTTGCCTAAATACACACATTTTTTTTTAGTGCACACACTTTAGCAATACCTTTTATGAAGTATTTTTAAACTTTATTCTCTAAAACCAATACTATTAAAAATGTCTTGTTCAGGGGCCCTCCCTTGTGGCATGAGGGGGTGTAAAGCGCAGCACTATGAAGTTATCTGCAGCCACTGCAGCACAAGTTCAATCCCTGCCCAGGGAGCTGACCCACATGGTGCAGCAGACCTCTCCAGTCTCACCCACTGCTCCCCTCAACAGTGTAGTTCAGTTGATCTGCCTGTTCTGCTCCCCACTCTGTCTCTGGCGAATCCTCTCCCCACCTGTACCTCTGGCCTGCAGTTCTTATGTGCACAAATAAATAAATCCTTTTTAAAAAGGATTATGAAATATATTTATAAAGTGGAGGAAAAGCCTGTGGAAGGAATTCTAGCTAATAGTACATCAGTGTCATTCATTCATTCATTGAAGTATCTCCTTTGTGCTTATGAATGAAGAGCCTTATAGAAAAGGTGGGGCCTCTAACTTCTCATTAAGTCTGCATTTTACCTTCCTATTCCATGACAGGGAAGAACTGCCAGATTACCTATCACAAGAGAAGCAGTGCAGTGCAATAAAGAAAAAACAAATTCTGAATTCAGCAAATCTGAGTTTGAGTACTACTGATGAGGCAGTTTCTAAGTAGATTGTTATAAAAATCCCCCTATTGGAAGATCCCACCCAGGTACAATTAACATACTAATGCAAACATAATTAACAGGTTTGCTCATTTTCAGATGCTCTCTAAACAAGGTTTATGATTGGCTTCAGCATGCTTATCTATACAGTTTGCAGTTCAGAAGGTCACCAGCCGAGCTGGTCAGTCTCAACCTCCAATTAATTGCACGTCTCTCTCTCATCCCCTGGTTGTGTGAAAGCTTGCATCAAACAGTACTTGCCCACTGTAAAACAATCTGTCAGTGTAACAGTTGTAGAGATAGTTATGCATAAAACTAACCCTCTGTCTCAGATGGTAGGGAATTTCCCATGTCTGAGTCCACATGCAAGTGTAGTTAAACCTTTTCCTGACCTCACCATTCCTGAAGCAACTCTTGTCCTTTCACTGCTGGGGGTAAGCACACTACCAGCCTCGTCATCCTAGGGAAATTTCTGAATCTTTCTGAACTTGTTTTCTGCCCCTTGTTTAGATCTACATACTTGGTTATTCTGTCTTTATTTGGTGTTGTAATAAATTTAGCCATTTTTAATTTAAAAAGCTTAGTACTTATATCCATATTATTATTTACCCTATTGCTTAATTTTCTTTTTTCTTTAAGATTTATTTATTTATGCATACAAGCACTGGGGTACAGGCCAGAGATGCAGGGAGCGAGAGGATTCGGCAGAGACAGAGTGGGGAGCAGAACAGTGAGATGTAACTGAAATACACTGCTGAGGGGCGCAGCGGGTGAGACAGGAGTGGTCTGTTGTGCCATGTGGGTCACCTCTTGGGCCGGGAATCAAAGTCAAGCTGCAGTGGCTGTGGATAGCTTTATAGTGCTGTGCTCCAACCCACTGCACCTTCAAGGAGGGCCCCATTGCTTAATTTTCTTTCTGTTGCCTCACAATAAAGTTTTTCTGATACTTGCTGACAACCCTGATTTATGTTAGAAGCCAAAAAAGAAAAACGTTATATTAAATTAAAGTTATATCAAGAACACCGAGAGTGGTCTGTGTCAAGGCTTGAACATCCTTCCCCAGAAATCCTAAAGAGGTTTTGATTCTTTATCTAATGTATGCTTCCAGATTTTTCTTTCCCAGTAGAATTTTTTAAATGGATAAATAGTGAGGTTTACCTAAAAAGAGTAGAAGCAGATGTTTAGAGCACAGAATGTTTAAAAAACATTTAATACAGATTAAGTACTCTCTGTTGAAATATTCTGGCTTCTTAGAATTCCCTTTTTACATTAAAAAGTAAATTTTGGAATTAGGGATGGGCAAGGAAGGAAAATAAATATTTCCTGCTTAAAAAACATTACCCGGAGAGGAAAAAAACTCATTATTGGACTCTTCTGCCCAATATGGCTACCTGGGCAGAATTCTTCATTTTGACCAGGAAACGTGAACCTAACCCTCACAGCTACTCCTGTGTTCTAGAGGGTAGACATGCTTCATAGCATCTTCTTAGCAGTCGTGTGGAAATGTATTGTCAGATATTTAGAAGCTACAGAAAGATGCTATGAAATAGCAATTCATTTAAATAAGCCAAAAAACGTGCCCTGATGTTTCATGATACCATGGTTCATTTTCAAGATTCAACATAGAAGCTTTCATTAGGATGAAGAAATAGCATTCTAAATAGGGTAGAACAAAACAAGACACTAACTTCAGAACTATAGGCTTGCTTAATCTCTTTTGTAAGGGTATTCTGCTCTCCACCCCCATTCTTGATGTTTTGGGCCCAGTCGCTCTGCATGCTTTTTGCAGGAGGTGATCTGGTTTTCATTCCACCTAGCTTTGCTTCTCCTTTTCATAACCTTCCCCTAGGGCTGGTTAGCAGCCCCACCACTGAATCCACAGGGCATGCTATTTGGTGAGTTAAGAGCTGATGGTTTTAGAAAAAGCTAATGTTAAGCCACACCCCAAAGGCAGCCTCAGAGACGGGAAAGTCAGGAAATAAAAGATTTTAAAAGCTGCTTGGCAAGAGAGTAAGGATGTAATCCCGTTCTGGCTTTTGTTTTCAAAGAAGTAGGGGCCCTTCAAGCCACTCAGAGTTTCGTTCAGCAAGTTAATTCAGGAAGCATGTTTTGAAGGCCAAGCGGTCAGTGGAGGGCAGCTTCCGACTCTAAGGAGTCAGCATTGACTTTCCCTGCGGCATGGCCTGCCCTGCCCATCACAAGCTCCTTTCTGGACTCTCTAAATTTCAGGAAGCATTAGGGTATGAGCATTATACATTAAAGTAAACAGGTTCCCCCTTATTATTCACTTAAAGTGTCAATGAGCCAAAAATGTCTAAGTTTTAATCTTGACTTTTCTACTTCCTAGCAGTGAACCTTGGAGAATGTACTCAGCTCTCTGTGTCTTACTTAACGGGGGAAATCAGGTGACTTATACCAGGATTTTTATAACTCTCCTTCAGGAAACGCAGGGAATGCTGGGGAAGGTGACAGACAGCCAGGGTTCTTCTGGATTTCCTTACCTATGTGTGTATAAAACGGAAACCTTTCTCGGCATTCACCAGCTTTCTGAGATCAGTTGGGACTCTGGGCATGGCCTAATGGGATCCCCAAAGCTGGGCGTACTTGTGAACCTGCCCATTCCAGAGTGGCTTCCCTTGGGCCTTCTACTCCTACTTCCCTTTTGTGGGTTATATAACTCTTCAGACCTGTCCTCCCCATACTTCCTCTCGGGCTTATTTCGTCTTAGGTTATTTTCTATCCTTTTTTTTTTTTTTATGACAAGGAAATCAGGCAGCTTTATTTATGATGGCACCATATAAAACTCCACACTTAAGTACAAAGGCAAGATAAGGCCAAATCCAGACCTTTTGCATTTCTTTGTCTTCTACCCATTCAAAGGAACTTTTTTTTTTTTAAACAAAAATTACCTCTAGTAAGTCTCTGGTTTAGAAATTGATTGACTTACACCATTGTCTCCCACATCCAGGAATCTCATAACCCTCCTTAGGGAAACAGGTTAGGAATGTTGGGGTAGGTTAAAGATATCCAGAGTCTTTTTTCTAGATTTCCTTCATTCCTTTTCAGATAATAAAAACAGTATAACTGATTTCCCTTTCTAATGTACTACTGGCCACTTATAATTGATTCATCTCAAGTCCTGGTATCATTTTATTATTCTATTTAAGTGTTTTCCACTTTTATCCCTGAATCTCTAGCTTTAAACGATTCTTTAATTCTAGTTTTATTTTCAGTTAGCTAGTGTGTACATCACTTAGGATCCCAATTTAGTATATCATCATTCTCCTTTGACCTGTACATGATGGGGTTGCAGGTCATTTTACCTACTATGTATTCCCATAATTCAAGACCCCCTTTGATAAAAATACATTCAAAACAGGTCCTCCCTGGTGGCACAGGGGTCAAACTGGTGCCAGCCACTGCAGTATGTGTTCAATCCCCCACCAAGGAGCTGACCCACATGGTGCAGCAGACTTCTCCTGTCTTGCCCACTGCTCCCCTCAGCAGTGTACTTCATGGATCTGCTCCCCACGCTGTCTCTGGTGAATCCTCTCACCACCACCCCTATCTGCCCCTCCACACACACACCTCTGGCCTACACCCCAGTTCTTGGACACATAAATAAATAAAAATAAATATTTTAGGGCCCTTCCTGGGCCCTAACCCTGGTGGCCCAGTGGGTTAGGACACAGCACTGCAAGCTAGTCACAGCCGCTTTGGTGTGAGTTTGATCTCCGGCCCCGGAGGTGACCCATATGGCTCAGCAGACCTCTCCTGACCTGCCTGCTGCTCCCCTCCGCAGTGTACTTCATTAGTCAGCCTGTTCTGCTCCCCACTTGTCTCTGATGAATCCTCTGACCACCCTGCACCTCTGTATGCATTAATAAATAAATATTTTAAAATAAATAAATCTTGTTTAAAAATAAAGTCAAAACAATTTCAGACTTTCAAAAAAAATGACAAAAAAAATAGAGTCAAAACAACTTTGTGAATATAATACAAGTAATTCTGAAGTGATTTGCTATTTCCATTTTCTTTTTTTTTTTAAGATTTATTTATTTGTGCATACAAGAACTGGGGTACAGGCCAGAGATGCAGGGGGTGAGAGGATTCACCAGAGACAGAATGGGGAGGAGAACAGGCAGATGGACTGAAATACACTGCTGAGGGTAGCAGTGGGTGGATCAGGAGAGGTCTGCCACGCCATGTGGGTCACCTCCCTGGCTAGGATCAAACTTATGTTGCAGTGGCTGCAGGTAGGTTCATAGTGCTATGCTTTAATCCATTGCACCACCAGGGAGGGCCCACTGTTTCCATTTTCCTACTGCTGTGCCTCTCCCTCCATTTTCTTCTTAAGAATAAATTTGAATGTTTTTTCTTTCTGCCTCTGCTTTTAAGTAAATCTTCTTTTCCTTCCAACTGTAGTGTGAAATTGCTACCAATGGTGACAGACAAAGAGACCAAGAAGTTCATTTCAGAGACTTGAGACCAAAAATGAAACCTGAACTACTGAGTGGACCCATCCCTCCAGGCCACATTCCCAAACCCATAGTAATGCCCGACTACGTGGCGTAAGTACCATCTAAATCTGTCAAGGTGGAGGTCAGGTGGTTCCATATGAGACTTTCATTTTCCTATTTGTGTCCAGCTCTGCTTAAAATCATCTGTTTGCACAGTTGTTTGTTATGAGAGGTATAGATTGAAAGATATAATAAGGTTGGTGAGGAGTAAACAGGTGATTTGCCATTGAGCTTGTTTTATTTATTTATTATTTTAAAGATTTATTTATGCATACATTAGCTGGGGTACAGGTCAGAGGTGCAGGGGGTGAGAGGATCCACCAGAGACAGAGTGGGGAGCAGAACAGGCAAATTGACAAAGTACACTGCTGAGGGGAGCAGAGGGTGAGACAGGGGAGGTCTGCTGCGTCGTGTGGATCACCTCCCTGGCTGGGATCGAATTCATGCTGCAGCCGCTGCAACTAGCTTCATAGTGCTGAACTTTAACCAGTTAAGCCACCAGAGAGGGCCCAGTAAGGTTGTTTTAATAGAAAGGCTTAAACTTTGGTTTATATTTTTCCCTCAGAAAATATCCTGTAATACAGTCAAGTGATGAACGAGAACGCTATAAAGCTGTGTTCCAAGACCAGTTTTCAGAGTACAAAGAGCTCTCTGCTGAAGTTCAGGCCGTCTTGAGGAAGTTTGATGAATTGGACGCTGTGATGAGCAGATTGCCACTTCGTGCGGAAAACCAGCAGGTCAGTGGCTGCAGCTGCCTGGGAGGGTCACTGGCAGCTAGAGGAAGGGTAAAATCAGGCCTGATTTGAAATGCAAAGAACCATATCCATCCATGTCTGTTGTCTTGAGTCTAGGGAAGTCATTTGTGACAGCCAAAGTGGCTAATTCAGTTTACAGTTCGGTCTATGTAATGTCTTTTGGTTTTAGTTATTAAACAATATTTTATTTTCTTATTTTGACAAAATATAAATATACCTAAGATACAAATTAACTCAGTCAGAATCCTATAGGAGTCAGCACACTCAAACTGGACAATTCAAGAAGGGCTTATTCACAAAGGGATGGCCAGTGTGTCGGGAGCCATCCAGGACCATACATTCTCTATAGAGAGAGAGTCAGGTGCTTGCCACCCCCTCACAAAGAGCATGGAGAATGGGTCAAAAACTGCAAAGGTGACCCACTGGGGACATACATCATATCCTGATTGTCATCAATAAGATGAAGAGGTAAACCAAGGTATGGAAATTCAGCATTTTCCATAATGTTCTGTCTTTTTTGTCCCCCAATTTTAATACTAAAATTGGGAAGACTCATAATAATGGTACATTTATCAGATACAAGTTTTTGTAAAAGATTTACTTTTTTTATTTATGCATACAAGAACTGGGGTACAGGCCAGAGCTACAGAGAATGAGAGGACTCACCAGAGACAGAGTGGGGACCAGAAAAAGTAGACTAACTGAAATACACTGCTGAGGGCAACAGCGGGTGAGACAGGAGTGGTCTTCAGTGC